TCTCTCTCTCTCTCCGCGCGCGTGCAGGTGCCGCTTGCGCCGTGCGGCCTTGACACTGTGATACCGATCGACGAAGACAACCGCAGCGAGACGACCGCGACGCCGGACCGCCTCACGCCCGACGCATCCTCGGTGTCGGACAGCGAAGGGGGCGCCACCGGTGAGGAGGAGGAACCCGTGCGCAGCGTCGTCGTCAACATGGCGCACATCGCCAGCGCCGAGGACATCGTAGTCTCAGAGGACGGCACGTACGGAACAACCGTGTGACCGCGCGAGGGGAACGGTGGCGCCCCCGGGTGGCCGGAATGGCGAGGACAGCATATGACGGAGCGGCGGCGTCGGCCGCAAGCGTTCGGGCGGAATGGGAAGCCAGCGCATTGTCGTATACGTGAGCGAGCGTCGGTGGGGAGGCGAGCGTGAGCGTGAGGCAGCTTGATCGGGAACACCCCTCCCCCTCCCGCTGTGGGTAGGGACGGTTCGCTGGTCAGCATAGCGTCGATGCACGGTCCAGTGGGGCGGACGCGGTGACCAGTGTGGCGTTGTTGCGAGGGGGAGTCATGTTTGCTATTGAGCTGACAGCACGTCGCTTTCTGAATAGTAGCCGTAATACGACGTGAAATCGATCGCGGTGGGCAGTCATGACAGCTTGCCGTACAGGTGGCGCCGGTGGGCGATTGCAACAGCTTGTTGTGTAGATGGCGCCAGTGGTGAGTCGTATCGGCCGTGCTTGTTTGTCACTACATCTGCTGGGTCTGTTGCTAGTCCATGGCAAAGTTTCCAAATTGCTGCTACTGCTACTGAGTCTACTGTGTCACTGAGTAAATGACAAAGGTTTCTAGTGTCACCAGTTTTAATAGTAAGTGCCACCATTTTTACGCAATAGCTGCCGAATGATCCCCCACAGGTTGCCCTGTCCCTGGCCACTGCGGCAGGCATTGGACAGCATTTCTTGGCATAAATCGTGTTGAGAGGTGGGTTGCGTGTATTCTAACCACGCCCCGCCGACTTGCCGCACAGCATAAATGCAAGCTTATAGTAACCAGTGAAACTATTCGGTGCTCGTTAGAATCGCGCGTGGATGATGTGCGCTCGTGTCGATGCCTAGCAACCAGTTGCTAAGCTGACAGGACACGTGCTGCCAGAGGCCGCCACATGCTTGTTCCGGCATCGTACCCCACCTGACCCACGAACGCCCTCTAGTTACCGCACTCACTCGCAACTGTTCGTGTAATCCTGCACCCGTACGGATCCGTTAGTCGTCCCGGAATAGAGGGGGAGAGAGGCGGGGGTGTCGCCTTATCGGGGGCGAGGCGTGGTGCTTTCGAGGCGAGTCTTAATGGCGGTCGCCATTATACGTTTTAAGAAATTGTGATAATTAGTGTTCGAGTAAGATTTTAGTCGAAGTCGTTGTTGTGTTTTGAGGATAGTTTAACGAGATAGCTCGCGCGTGTGTATACTGAATCATAAGCAGACGCCATCAGTACCTACGTCTTACGGTTTCTTGCCTCGAGACACTCGCGTCGCTGTCTCGCGCATGCATGATGGCGGCACACGGAGAGCATAACTTACGTACAGTACGTTCTCTATGCGCGAAACACTGGCGTGCAAGCAATGCCTGTTCGTTTCGGTTTTGCGCACCAGGTGGCGCCAGAGCTCGCAGATTTCCGTGGTGTTGCACGCGACTTGTGTCAGTCTGTGCGACCCTCCCTGCCCTACCTGCTGCCTTCCTTTCTTCGAACA